CTGTCGATACCAAGTTTATTGAGGGTTTTTAGCATAAAGGGCTGTTGAATTTCATCAAAGACCTTCTCTGCAACAATTGAGATAATCATGTGGTTTTTGTTTTTGGTTCTGTTTATGTGTAAACTTGGTATTGATGGAAAGTATCTCAAAATAATAAAAGCTATTTATGACAAACCAACAGCCAATATCATACTGAATGGGCAAAAACTGGAAGCATTCCCTTTGAAATCTGGCACTAGACAAGGATGCCCTCTCTCACTACTCGTATTCAATATAGTACTGGAAGTTCTAGCCAGAGCAATCAGGCAAGAAAAAGAAATAAAGGGTATTCAAATAGGAAAGGAGGAAGGCAAATTGTCTTTATTTGCAGACAACATAATAGTATATCTAGAAGACCCCATTGTCTCAGCCCCAAAACTCCTGAAACTGATAGGCAACTTCAGCAAAGTCTCTGGATACAAAATCAATGTGCAAAAATCACAAGCATTCGTCTACACCAATAACAGACTTAAAGAAAGCCAAATCAAGAATGAACTGCCATTCACAATTGCTACAAAGAGAATAAAATACCTAGGAATACAACTAACAAGGAACATAAAGGACCTCTTCAAGGAGAACTACAAACCACTGCTCAACGAAATAAGAGAGGACACAAACAGATGGAGAAATGTATGAACTGCCATTGACTTTTATACTTTAAAATGATTAATTTCATGTTATGTAAATTTCACCTTGATAAAGATATTAATTTAATCAAATTTATTAACTTCAGGTGTGTCACGCAATATGCCCTCTCTGTCCCTTTCTCAAATGATTTGCACCGCGGTATGAAGCCGGGGAATAATTTATTTCATCATAGAAATCTGGCAGCTGGAACTTTCTACAAAAGCAAGTGACTCTTCCTTCCAACCAGATAATGCAATAAATCCAGCTCAGGGAACATAATACCTGGATATATTAGGTTTTAGGCTTGAACAGAGTTAAAAGCTGATCTCAGCTGCTTTTCCACCCCCTATTTTCTCCTGTGGAAGGTGAGATTCAGTGAGGTTGACAGTATGAAAAGTATCTGCAGCATGAGGCCAGCCCAGGGTGCTGGCTTCTAGCCCACTCTGTTCTTCATCAACACAGAATTTTACTCCTCATCCCATGAATATCTACTCAGACAACAGCAAAGGGGCTCTGTGGAGTCTGAGCCCATCCTGGTCTTGGTCCTCTGAATCCTGAACCTGGCGGCACATTATATTACATCACCTGGGTCTTAAAAAATACGCTGATATCTTGAATTCATCCAAGACCAATTAAACCTGCATCTCTGGAGAGGGAGCCTGGAGATTTTTAAACACACCTTGGGTGATTTTAATGTGGAGTAAGGTTGAGGTCTATTGACTGCATTTTACTCATTAGCATCTAGAATTTCCAATCTTTACCAGTCCTGGAGGGGCTCAGGCATCATCATCTCATAACTGAGCCCATAAGGTCATGAGTGTGACTTGAATAGCACCTCCATGACACAGCCAATCCTCACCTGCATAGTCTACCCAGCCAGCACCTGCACAGCACACCCAATCCTCACCTGTAGAGCCCACCCAACCAGTACCTGTATCACCCATCCAATCCTCATCTATAGAGCCCCCCAACCAGCAATGTACAACCCAGCCAACCAGCACCTGCACAACTCACCAAGTCAGCATTGGCACAACCCACCCAGTCATCACCTGCACAACACACCCAGTCAGCATCTGCACAACGCACCCAGTCATCACCTGCACAACACACCCAGTCAGCATCTGCACAACGCACCCAGTCAGCATCTGCACAACGCACCCAGTCATCACCTGCACAACGCACCCAGTCATCACCTGCACAACCCACCCAGTCAGCACCTGCACAACCCACCCAGTCAGCACCTGCACAACGCACCCAGTCATCACCTGCACAACCCACCCAGTCATCACCTGCACAACCCACCCAGTCAGCATCTGCATAACGCACCCAGTCATCACCTGCACAACCCACCCAGTCAGAACCTGCACAACGCACCCAGTCATCACCTGCACAACCCACCCAGTCAGCATCTGCACAACCCACCCAGTCAGCACCTGCACAACCCACCCAGTCAGCACCTGCACAACCCACCCAGTCAGCACCTGCACAACCCACCCAGTCATCACCTGCACAACGCACCCAGTCAGCACCTGCACAACCCACCCAGTCAGCACCTGCACAACCCACCCAGTCAGCACCTGCACAACGCACCCAGTCATCACCTGCACAACCCACCCAGTCAGCATCTGCACAACGCACCCAGTCATCACCTGCACAACCCACCCAGTCAGCATCTGCACAACACACCCAGTCATCACCTGCACAACCCACCCAGTCAGCACCTGCACAACGCACCCAGTCAGCACCTGCACAACGCACCCAGTCAGCACCTGCACAACGCACCCAGTCATCACCTGCACAACGCACCCAGTCAGCACCTGCACAACGCACCCAGTCAGCATCTGCACAACCCACCCAGTCAGCATCTGCACAACACACCCAGTCAGCATCTGCACAACCCACCCAGTCAGCATCTGCACAACCCACCCAGTCATCACCTGCACAACACACCCAGTCATCACCTGCACAACACACCCAGTCAGCATCTGCACAACACACCCAGTCATCACCTGCACAACCCACCCAGTCATCACCTGCACAACCCACCCAGTCAGCATCTGCACAACGCACCCAGTCATCACCTGCACAACCTACCCAGTCAGCATCTGCACAACACACCCAGTCAGCATCTGCACAACCCACCCAGTCAGCATCTGCACAACACACCCAGTCAGCATCTGCACAACACACCCAGTCATCACCTGCACAACACACCCAGTCATCACCTGCACAACCCACCCAGTCAGCATCTGCACAACACACCCAGTCAGCATCTGCACAACACACCCAGTCAGCATCTGCACAACACACCCAGTCATCACCTGCACAACACACCCAGTCAGCATCTGCACAACCCACCCAGTCAGCATCTGCACAACACACCCAGTCAGCATCTGCACAACACACCCAGTCATCACCTGCACAACACACCCAGTCAGCATCTGCACAACACACCCAGTCAGCATCTGCACAACACACCCAGTCAGCACCTGCACAACACACCCAGTCAGCACCTGCACAACCCACCCAGTCAGCACCTGCACAACCCACCCAGTCAGCACCTGCACAACGCACCCAGTCAGCACCTGCACAACGCACCCAGTCAGCACCTGCACAACGCACCCAGTCAGCATCTGCACAACGCACCCAGTCATCACCTGCACAACGCACCCAGTCAGCACCTGCACAACGCACCCAGTCAGCACCTGCACAACGCACCCAGTCAGCATCTGCACAACGCACCCAGTCATCACCTGCACAACGCACCCAGTCAGCACCTGCACAACGCACCCAGTCATCACCTGCACAACGCACCCAGTCAGCACCTGCACAACGCACCCAGTCAGCATCTGCACAACGCACCCAGTCAGCATCTGCACAACCCACCCAGTCATCACCTGCACAACCCACCCAGTCATCACCTGCACAACCCACCCAGTCAGCATCTGCACAACCCACCCAGTCATCACCTGCACAACACACCCAGTCATCACCTGCACAACACACCCAGTCATCACCTGCACAACCCACCCAGTCAGCACCTGCACAACCCACCCAGTCAGCATCTGCACAACACACCCAGTCATCACCTGCACAACCCACCCAGTCAGCACCTGCACAACCCACCCAGTCAGCACCTGCACAACCCACCCAGTCAGCACCTGCACAACACACCCAGTCAGCACCTGCACAACCCACCCAGTCAGCACCTGCACAACGCACCCAGTCAGCACCTGCACAACGCACCCAGTCATCACCTGCACAACCCACCCAGTCATCACCTGCACAACACACCCAGTCAGCACCTGCACAACACACCCAGTCATCACCTGCACAACACACCCAGTCAGCACCTGCACAACCCACCCAGTCATCACCTGCACAACGCACCCAGTCATCACCTGCACAACCCACCCAGTCATCACCTGCACAACACACCCAGTCAGCACCTGCACAACACACCCAGTCAGCACCTGCACAACACACCCAGTCAGCACCTGCACAACGCACCCAGTCAGCATCTGCACAACCCACCCAGTCATCACCTGCACAACCCACCCAGTCATCACCTGCACAACCCACCCAGTCATCACCCGCATAACCCACCCAACCAACACCTGCACAACCCACCCAACCAGCACCTGCACAACACACCCAACCAGCATCTGCACAACACACCTAGTCATCACCTGCACAACCCACCCAACCAGCACCTGCACAACACACTCAACCAGCATCTGCACAACACACCCAGTCATCACCTGCACAACCCACACAGCCACACCTGCCTGTGACCTGCCTGCATAACCTAGCCAATCATCACCTGCACAGCCCACCCAGATAGCACTTGCCTGTGACCCAGTCATCCCATTTGGTCTGGTCTAACAGTTACCTCCAGATACTTTTCTGAGGGTTACTGAGGCATCCTCACTCTCTCTATGAGCCCCCTGGCCGGATCCTTTCCAAGCAGGATGTAGAGCAGCCTTCAGCTGCACACAGCTTTTCCCTGTGGACTTGCCTATCACCCCAGCAGTCCTTGGACATAGAGGTCCTTATGGATTCTGAATGCAATCAGAGCCCTGAGTCATTATTGTCCAGAACCCTGAAGCCTCTGTTTTTCAGGCAGACACAGAAGAGCTGCAGTAGTTCAGGGGTGAAGTAGTTCAGGGGTTCACCCATTGCCAGGAGCTGAAGGAGGTCAGAACCCTGACTACAGATGCCGCCTGGTGCTCTCAGCCACAAGACCAAGACAGCCCCCGGGGACCCCATCCCTCAAACAAGAAGTCCAATGCAAAGGTAATCATTTCCCACATAGAACATAATAAAATTCTTACTGAAATATCTGGCTGCAAACGTTCTCCTTTTGCTGGAAGCTGTCGGCAGCATAATGAAGCTGGCAGTCTGTGCGAATTTCTTCTGTATCCTTTTTATAAAGAACCAACCACATCTTCAAGCAGACAAGCTAATTCCTGTTTTCCAGTAACAGGAGATCCACATCTATAGAAAAGAAATATATTTAGAATGCCCTTTATCTGGTATTTTCTTGGATTTTAAACAAGAAGCCTCGCTGTGAGGAATTAGTTGATTCAGGATAAGTGCACCTAGGGGTCTTAGAATGGTCTTGGTCAAGTCATGGGGTCTTGGGGTGTCAGTTCCTCAAATCCATAAAATGGAAACAATAAGGACAACTGCCTCTTAGAACAAACAGAGGGCTGAGAAGTGGAAAGAAAGGGCGTTGTGAGCAAAGCCTACAGCACACATCAGATGCTATATTTGATTTTTTCCATGAGCTGACCTGGATATAAGGGGAGCTGGGCTTCCTGAGAGGCTCAGAAATTAGTACAAAACATTGCAAATTTGCAGCATGACTTCCAGGATGCATTTATGGCCTTCTGCTGGCGGGCACCGCAGTCCCATGAGTGGGAAGAGCAAGGACTTAATCCCACCCACAGATGGAGAGTCAAGGGCCAGGAACACCCCATGTGAGACCCTCACCAGGCACACAGGCTGCTCATGGCATGGCTTTTCCATTCAATTTTTGGAAATTTAGAATCATTACAGCATAATTTACAGTTGTGGAGAATCAAAAAGAAAAATCCCAATTATGAAACAGCCAAGCAATGTCTATGCAGCCATCAACATCATTGACATAGTGGTCCTGGCAGTCCAAGACAAAAGCAGCCTCCAAGGTGGTAGATACAATGTTACCTAAATACAGGCGGCATTGATACAGATGGAGCAGTGACTCCTGGGAGGGCATGCTCCCGAATTTTCTTCCCAGCTCCCTCCTTGTCTCTGCTATATTGAGCTTGCATCATGTTTATTGATAGTGACCTGAAACACCTTTCAATTGCAGTTAAAAAAGCAAAAAAGCAGTTAACCAATCACTGCTATAAAGATAAAACAAGCATAGCCAGTGCTGTGGGGAATTGTCATCTTGGCCCATGCCTTGGGGATTTGTGGACAGCTCCTGCTGCTAATGTTCTCAGACAGGAGCCTTGGAACAGTGCACAGAAGGGAGCCAACCTGAGCCTCTGGGGAGTGACCAGGGACAGCTGGGAACAGAAGGAGGCAGCAGGCAAGCACTCAATTGCTTGAAGAGAGCAGTAAGCCCAAATCCAATGCACCAGCATGTTCTTGCAACAAAGCAGGCAGTAATTTGGGTTGCAAAGGCCGGAGTGCAAGGCGGATAAGAGCCCACAGGTACAGACAGAAGAGTGAGAGGAAGAAGCCTGTCCCATGACTTGGTGTACAGGGGGGCTTTGGAACTAAAAGCGTAGAGTTTTGCAGCAGGTCTACAAATTAAGGACCAAGTCCAGGTTTTCCCTTTTTGAGTGCTGGGAATTTGGGCATGAGCCAGATTTAGCAAACAAAAATATAGGATGCCCAGCTAATTTTGCCCTGTAACTGTGCTCTAAGAATTTCATGGGGCATAACATCTGCTAAAAAGTTATGTGTTGTTGACCTGAAACACTATTCAGATTTAACTGAGTATCTGGCAACTTTATACCTTCTGAATATCCACTTTCTCTTTGGTCAAAAAAGAAAACACTACCAGGTAAGAAACTTTCAGTTGCAGAGGAAAACAAACAACAGTTAAAAAGAGGGGATTTATTGGCTCCTTGAGTAGGAAAGTTCTCATAATATGGATTTCAGGCATAGCTGGATCCAGCAGCTTGACAATGTTAACCAAGTCTGGGTTTCTTTCCAGTTCTCCTGTTTGCTTCTAGAATGACTGCTTCATTCTCAGCAAAGTCCCCTCATTATTAAAAAATGCTGGACACCAGCTTGCTTCAGGGACTAATACTCTTTCATGACCAACACAAAGAGAGAGCCTATCTTCCAGTGTCTCTCTCAAAGCTGCTGGGAAGCTGCCCTCCTTACTCTCCCCAACAACTCTTCTTGCCTCATGGCCTTGGTTAGGCCAGGTACCCCTCCCTGAACCACCCAAACCAATGCAATGTACTGATTGGCTAAAGCCAACCTGCTCTCATTCCAGGAATAGGGAGGAGTTGGCTGGTAAAAGCCACCTCAGCTGGTATGGATGGAAAAAAGGTGGAAGCTAGAGTGGATGCTAGGCACTGCAAGCAAGGGTGGGGAAAGGGCTCCAAGTCACAGTGCCCACAGTGGGGTTGTCCTAAGGATAAGATACATGCGAACATCCCCATGGTGTGGTGGTGGTGGTGGTGGTGGTGTGTGTGTTGTGTGTGTGTTGTATGAGAGGGAGGGAGGAAGAGGGAAAATGTTAGTGTCTCTCCTGGGATATGCTGATTACCCTTTCTTTCTTTCTTCTTGGCCAGGTAAGTGACCCATTTCCTCCCTGAGCAAGGGGGGCCCTCCCCGGGGAGCCGGGCCTCTGCCTTGGCTGTGTGTGCCTGCTCCTCACTGACCTCCACCCACACCTTGGAGGGGACGCTGCATCGGGAGACTTCTGGTTAGGGAAGTTTTATCAGGAACCACCTCTGTTACCTTTACCAATCTCAGCCTATAGTGGGGCCAAGGTCCTACAGCGTGGGCCTCTCCTTTGGAAGACTTGGGGACAGAGCTCTGCCCACCAGCTGGGGGACAGTGACCTCAGAGGGAGAGGGGACAGGAGACTGCTCTCCAGTCCCTCACCCCAGCCCTCACCTTTTCCTCACCCACCTTTCTTTGCAGCAAGTTCAAATGCAGGTCACGCCCCAGCTAATCGGACACAGCTGGGCACAGCTCCCGGGGCCTGCCTGGCAGCGCAGGGAAGGGCTGTAGAGAGCTCGGGCTGGACGCTTGTCTCGGGATGATTCAGCCAGGAGCAGCCACCGCCTGCACGGGCCACGCAGCAAACGGGTGCGTCGTGGGGGCTGGAGAGGCCGGTCTTCTGGAGCCAGGCCAGCGCACCCTGCTCGGGCGTCACCCCACCACGGACATTCAGTGACAGCCTGCACTTCTCAGCACACTGTGTATCACACGCGTTACCCTGGCGTCTGGCAGCGCCCCGAGGTGGGCATCACTGTGGGATCAGGAGGCACTCCAGCCACAGGGTTCACTAGGGCCGAGGTGGGGACGGAAACCCGTCCCTCGGGCGTGGCAGTGGGTTGGCCACGTGCGCTCCAGGGCCCTGCACCCGCAGCTCCCGCAGGGTGGGAGCGGGCAGCGAGCGCGGCCTCCGGCAGAGCGGGCGGGGCTGCTCACCTGGAACCGGGGCCCGGCGTCTCTTCCCCCGCCTCGGCCGCCCGGGGCCTGCCTGGGGCTCCTTCCTCACCACCCGGTGGCAGCGCCTGAGCTCCCGGCCCGCTCCTCTGGCCCCGCGGGCGCCTTGGCTGTGGCCCTGCCCTCGGACCTGGTGTGATGAGCTGGCGGGCAAGGTCGGGGGGATGCAGCCAGGGCCCCGCATCCTCAGGCAGGACCGGCCTCCGGGCCGCTCGGCGCCTCTGGAGGGGGGCGGGGGAAGGGGGGGTGGAATGCGGCACCGCGGGCGGTCCCAGCAGGTCAGGAGGCTGCGGCAGCCGGGTCCGGGACGGCTGGGAGAGGCTGACCCCTGCCGGGCAGCGCGGGTAGCGCGGGTAGCGCCGCGGGCGGAGGCGGCCTGCCAGGGTCCTGGTGCACGGCGCCCCCTGGCGGGCATTGATGACACGGCCTTCCGAGCGCCTGGACCGCTCGCCACGCCTTCGTTCCTGGCCTCTGGATGCCCAAGCTCATCTCGCCCCAGCCCGTCTGTAGCTTCGTCTTGTGCGCCTCGTGCTATTGGCAGGGCGTGTGGGACTTAGGGGTTTTCCACACTGAGTCTTCCTTGGAGTAGGTGAACTCTGCAAAGCTGGCCCAGTTCTGTATCTTAAGTATGGGAAGAAAGTGGGGGCTGCAGAAATCACTAGCAGGGGAGGAGCCCCGAGGTTGCCAAGAGGGATCAGAGCCACTGCTCAAGGCTCCCCCATCTCCCAAATCTCCCCCACTTCATAGATTGGGAAACTACGGTCAGAAAGGGTTGGTGCATCCCCCAAGGTCCCAGAGCCACACGCAGCATAGCTGGCACTTGAAAGTCAAAGCAGAAGAAGCAGGCGGGTGGCTCTTGAACTGGCCTTCGGGGTCTGTGGTGGGCAGAGAGATACTTCTCCGAGGGTGGAGTGACCTCCTGCTCACCTGGGTTCAGCGTCCAGGTTCACCTAGACTCACCTGCACTCTTGTCCTCCTTGACCACGGCAGGGGCGTTGGCCATGGGCTGATAACCTTGGAAAGCCTGATTCAGCCTCTGGGCAGAGCTGGGTCAGTCCAGCCTCAGGGCCATCACTCACCCTAAGCACTGTGGTAACCTCTTGCCAGCCCCTGGAGGTCCCAGGTGTGGGGCAGGGTGACCATGGCAGAGGTAAGGAGGCACACATTCTGCCACAGCACCAGAGCAAGGTCATAGCATCCTGTTCTTGTACCCCGTCAGTCCCTGCAGCTATGGGGGGCTCCACTGAAAACAGTGTGCCAGGCCTCCTCTGTGTGTGCCCTGGTAAGGGCTCACTCACTCTCCAGGCTTGCTGGGGGAGGCAGCATGAACTTCAGTGGAAAGGACAGCACTCGGGAGCAAGACAGTTGAGTTTGACTCCTGCCTTAGACACTTCTTAGTCAGGTATCTGGGAAAGTTACTCAGCCTTTCTGAGTCCCCTTCCTCATCTATAAAGTGAGCATAGTAATCCTGCTGACTCCATGGGTTTGTCAGAGGGTGAAGTAAGGAAAGTCCGGCAGAGCACTTAGCTAAGTGCCCAGCTCACATTATGCCATGCTCGTCTCCGTGGCCAGGACGGTGTATTGCAGCTGCAACCTTTAGCAGAGGCCCTGGAAATGTTTGTGTCCTCCGTGTCCTCTATCAGCAGCAGCAGCAGCAGCTAGGGCAGTTTTAGCTTCTCAAACCAAGTTCCTTGCACATTGAAAAATATTCTGCATTTAAATTTACATTATAAATTAAAATATAAGCCACTGGAATGAACACTTTATAATCAAACACTCCCAGGTGACCTAGTGCCTGAATTTGCCTGTTTAAAATCGAGTTGGCGGCAAGTAGCAGAAAACACAGCTGCCTTTAATACTTGGCTGGATTCTGGTGGAGCGAGGCTCCCAGGAGCCAACAGCCAGATGGTGGCTTTCCATTTGGCCCTTCCTTGGCCCTCCCCAGTGCCTGAGGGGGCCTACAACCCTAGTCAGCAGTCGGGAAGCTGTCCTCATCAGTGAACTACCTGGCTTCCGTGAAACTAGGGTCCTGTGTTTGGATCCAGGGTTTTTGAAGCTTCTGGAAATGGGGTTGGCCACGAAGGTCTTCTGGAAATATCTGCTCACTGAGCCATCATCCCCCCCAAGTGGTCACATTCTGCCAGAACCACACTGTAGACCACGTTTAATTAGAGTTCTTAGGGTACTTTTTTTGTTTTTACGTAGCGACGCTGTTTTGTTTTTCTAGTTGTTATAAGCATTGGAAGGCTATATATTGTTTCACGTGTTTAAATATTTAAGTCACTCAACGCCTTTTTGAAAAGGATCACATTACTGGAAGAAGGAATGCGGAGCTGATTCACAAGGGTAGAGTAATCCTGGCTGCAGTTGGTAGTGTTGGCCACGAGGTGGCGCCCTGAGCACACGGTTTGAGCTGGTGGGTTTTCCAGCCGTGATGACCAGCACAGGGGCCGAGGATGGCCTAAAAGGAGGGGCTCCGTCCACTTCAGGACGTCCAGAGTAGTCACCTGCGTAACACTCACAGAAAACACATGCTTCTGTGGGTGCACGACTGGGAACAGGGTGAGGCAAGTGAGGTATATTGGGTGTAAATTTTAAGAAGCAATGAGGGGCCCCTCCCCTCACTCTGGTCCAGGCCCTGGGCCACTGGTCTGGGACGTGTCTGTGAGGAGCAGAGCTGGGGAGCATCCCCCTGATATCCCAGGAAAGAGGATGATGCTTGGATCTCAGCCCTGGTCAGATGGGGCCTACACGGAGGGCACTCTAAAGCCCCTAGTTTGCCCCAGTGGCTGTGCCTGGATAATCAGATGTACCTTCTGGGAAGGGTTTAAGGGGATGGACGAGGGGCTGCCCCATCCCCATTCCCACTCTAAGTTGGAGCCACAGGAACATGGAGGGTGTGGGGGCTGAGCCGAGTGCATCCCTGGAGTGCCCTTTCCTGTCTGCACTCGGTCTGGGACAGCCTCTTTTGGCTCCTGCACATGGCAGCCCCCTGAGCTGGAGGAGCCACCTTGGAGCAGGCGTGGAGGCCGTGGCAGGGGGTCTCTGCCCAGGGTCTGGGTTCTCGGTGACACTGGGAGAGAATGCAGCCTGCAGTGTGGTTTCAGAAACTGGAAGAAGAGAGATAACTGTGAAGGAGGCACGGGAAGCTGGGTGCAGAGACGACCGAGCAACTGGCAAACATTTTGGTAAATCTGAGCATCACGGTGTGTGAGTGAGAAGTAACCAAGGTGGGAGTGTTAAGGATGAGGTGGAGCTAACATTTATACAATACGGTAACTCATACTGAACACAGTCACCTGGAAGGGAAAACTGGGGAGAATCGTACCATTAAGATTGCCGGGCACTTGCTGTTTTCACTCCAGATGAGCGCTGTCCAACAGTAATACAGTTTGAACCACGTCTATAATTAAAGATTTTCTGGTAGCCATGTTAAAAAAGAAGCAGGTGAAATTAGTTTAATAACATTTTATTTTTGGCAATATATGCACAATACTGTCATTTCTACATGTAATCATTATAGATAGTATTTACTGAAACATTTTGCATTCCTTTTTTAGACCAGCTCTTCCTCATCCGGTGTGTATTCTACATTTATACCATATTCCAATCTGGATGACAAATTTCTACTGAAAGTATTTTATCTGTATTTAGAGTTTACAAAATTTAGAGTTAAAAGAAAGGATTTTCAGATTGTTTTAAACATACACAAAAGCTTTTTAATAATTGGATTTTGTATCAATTTCTAAATTAAAATTAAATAAAATTAAACATTTAAGTGCGCAGTTGATCCAATTTCAAATGTGGCTAGTGGCCCTACTCTATTGGACAGTGCAGAGGTAGGCATTTAAAAGTCAAGTATTCATATTAAAAATGTTAAAAATAACAAGTGTAGAGTAGAAGTAGAATGTATAACTTCTAAACCAGTAGAGGGAGATATATACCAAAAAAATCCTAATCAATTCAATAGAAGGAAAAAGGGAGAAAACCATAAAAGAAAAATTTTGATAAATAGAAACACAAAAGAAGAAGGTAAAAATAGGCCCAAGTGACATAAATTTATCGGTAATCATAGTAAATATAAGTAGATTAATCCCACACATTTAAAAAAAATCCAACTGTAGCTGTTTGTGAAGACATATCTAAAATATAAGAACACAGAAAATGTTGAAAATAAACGAATGGAAAAAGGTTGTCAAATAGGAATTAAAATAAACCTAGTGTAGTGAAGTAATACTAATATGGACAATAGACTAAGGAAAGTCTTTATTAGGGATAAAGATTGTCATTGCAAGATGATAGAAGAAACGATTCACAGAGATACAAAAATCTTGAACCTACATACACCTAACAACATAGCCTGGAAGGAAAGAAAACAAGTAAACAGAAATCTGTGACATAATGTGAAGAATTTGAAAATTCACAGTCTTAGTGGAAATTGTATGACAACAGTCTCAGAAACTGATAGACCAAGTAGAACACCAGCAACAAATTAGTAGAGAAAGAGATTTTGAACAATGTATTAAGAAACCCTGATATAATAGATACGTGTAGAAGCCTGTACCCATGGAATATTTATAGAAATTGAACACGTACCACTTCACAAGAGGGTTCAATAAATCAACACTAAGGAATTGATATTATTCAATATTCTCTAACCTTGATACAACAAAATTAGACCACAATAACAAGACTTAAAATCATACATCTAAACACTGAAAAATACATTGTTAATTTATGTCTGAAAGGAGATATTGGAATAGAAATTACAAAAATACTTAGAATCAAATGCAACACAGAACCACTATTTTAAGACTTGTCACATACAGCTAACATGGTACTTTGAAAGAAATTTATGACATTAAATGTGTACATTAGAAAATAAGAAAGGTTGCAAATTAATTAGCTGAGAATTTAACTAAAAAATTAAGAAAAAGTTAGCATGTGATGACAGTTCAGCTTTTTTTTTTCTTTCCCAAGTTTAGCTTTGAGGGGGGGAATGAATTCTCAGTGTTCTACACAACTTCTAACTGTTGAGGGTTCCCAGGTCTTAGGCTTGGACCCTCCCTCTCCCAGGGAATTTTATCCATTCAGTTTTGAAATACCCTCTGCATTGATGAGTCTGTTTCCAGACTGGAGCTCACCCCTAAGCTACAGGCATCCTTTTCTGACTGCTCCGTTACCCTCACCCTCTAGCATCTCATATCTGACACGTTTG